TCGTTCTGCATTAATTAATTTAGCAATTAAAAATTGTGAGAATGAATTGCTGTATTTATATTTATCAGTTGTAATAAATGGCGCAACAGGTGCAACATCTTTTTTACAACAAATATTAACAGAATATTCATAATCTTCAGGAGCATTTTGTTGTGTAACGTCAAACCCAACAATTATGAATGCATGATTAAACTGTGTTTTAAATGAAGAGATATCAATTGGCTCAGGAGTTCCTGCATATTCTTTAAAAATTAATACAACAACATCATTACCAATATGTCTTTTCTTATCTAATTGTTGGTCATTAGTTTCCATGAAAGGGAGCCATGTTGAAATATGAAAAGCTATATCTATATTACCTTGAGAAAATGTGTTGACAATAGTATAATCTCCCATTAAACGATTTTTAGTATCTAGTCCTCCAACAAATCCTTGATATCCAAATAATTCAATTTTATTTCCAAGAAGATTTAAGAAATGTTCAAAATAAGAAGAACCTTCTCTGTTATTAAAGAATTCCATTTCTTTTGTTTGTCCAACAGCAGCATATAATACACCAAATTTATATCTTTTATAAGTAAAGAAATTTTCAAATTTACATAATGCATTAAACATTGGTTTTGCTCTAATAGCAACTGTTGATTTTTCTTTATAATCAGGGAATAACTCTTTTAAAATTTGATGATCAGTTTTTCCTTCATAAATCTTTCTTGTATCAGATCGTTTCGTTCTCATAATTACTTTCTTAATATTCTTATCATCAGAAATAGAAACAATTGCTAAATCAGTGTCAGTATGAATAATATAATTACTATGGTCTCCTTCAGAGAAATGTTTTTGATAATAATAGGAACATGCTTGAGGATCATGTATGTTATTTTTTAGTAACATATCAAATTTATGTGTTGTACAAGTAAAGAAGTTTTCAACTTTAGCTCCCATTGGTAAGTTTGCAATATCTATATGTAATGGTTTACTTTTCATAATATTATCTGTCCAAACTTCTGTTGGGAATGGAATATTTTCAAAGCATTCAGCTGTGGCTTTTATTTGCTCTTCACTCATAGAAGCATTAGCATATTTCTCTCGAATTATTTTCATTAGTTTCTCCATTTGTCCTTTTTCTTCAGCTACTTGAGATAATGGTTTTCCTTTATAAACTTGACCAATATTTGCACCATATTTAAGAAGCATTTCCATCACATCAGTATTTCCTTTCATTACAGCTGAATATAATGGAAATATTCCATTATTTGTTTGATGATTAACATCAGCTCCATAATCACATAACATTTTAATACTTTCAAAATCCATTGAATTGGCACAGACACTTGTTAATGCAGTTTCTCCAGATGAATTTACTTCATTAATATATCTTGTTGTATCTTCTTTTGATCCATTACCACTTTCAAGTAATAATTTTAATACCTCATGATAATCTTTTAAATTTTTATTTCTACAAAGGTAATGTAATGGTGTATTCATACGTTCATTTTTTAATGCTCTATCTGCTTTTTTATTAAGTAACATTTTTATAATTTCAATGTCAATCTTTTCAGCTGTTAAAGCCTTATGAAGTGGAGAGTATCTATTTTCATCACAACAATTAACATTAGCCCCCTTATTAATTAACATCTCCACAAGACTTCGATATGATTTTTCACATGCATAATATAAAAATGTTTTTCCATTAGCATCTTCATCATTAACATCATATTTTTTTATGTATTTACTTATTTGTATTTCTGCTTCTTTTTCTGTTATAACTTTAACTCCTTTCATTTTATCTATTATTTGACTTAACTTTTCTGATTTTGGTTTTATTGGACAATATGCCATCCAAAAGAAAAATGAACCATCAACTAACATTGGTATTCCAGGTGCACTCTTTAAAATAAATCCAGTTGATGATGGCTAAATGTATAAGGAATATTTGTTTAATATAAGTAACTGTATAAATTATTATAAACAAACTGAAATAAATGCTGCATCTATTTTAATAATTTTAGGATATAATACACACACCATAATCCTTGGTACCTCAGAAAATGGTGTTGAAAATGTTACAGAGTATGTATCATTTGTAAATGAACTTTTTTCAATTTTCCCACAACAAAAAAATTCTCCTCGGGGTGGAAAATAATTTGCTAATGCATCATACTCTTTCAATAATCCTAAACTTTGGTTATATCCCTCTTCATATTTTTTTACTTTATTTCTTAAATCTGAAATTTCTTCTTCTAATTGCATTTTCATTAAATTAAATTTATCTTCATCAATATACTTTTGTGGTGTTGAATATGAATAATCACTTTGACTATCTGGAGTTTGATGTTCTGCAACTAACGACATTATTTAGTGTTGATTATATTTAGTTCTTTAAGTTCTTCTTGATTTTTTTTCATTGAACCTTATCCTTTATATGTCCTATCTTTAAAGTACCTAATTCTAAAAACAGATTTATTATTC